CAAAAGGTTCGTGGTTCAAACCCACCCAGAGGTGCCTCCGGAGCTGGGCTGCTTCTGAAACGTCAAGCTTTCAAAACTGTATAGTGTAGTTCTACTCAACACACATGGAATGGTCACTAAGAGGAATCAACTCATTGACAGCCAATAACAGCATAATTCCTGGTACTCAAAACACTAGCTTTCATTGAGCACCATTTACCATGAAGCAGAATTATCATGGGCTTCCCAAAGAAGGTATCCAAAGACATTCACTGAATTTTTTTTTTTTTTTCAGAAAACAATTATTAGTCAATAGTAGCGTAGTGGTTACGAATCGGGCTGCGAACCTTAAGGTCAGCGGTTCGAAACTACCAGCCGCTCCGCGGGAGAAAGATGAGGCTTTCTACTCCCGTAAAGATTTACACCCTAGGAAACCCTGTACAGGGTCGCTATGGGTCGGACCCGACTCGATGGCACTTAACAACAACAACAACAACATCTACCAAAAAGAAAAGCACATCATCATTTCTATGGTTTCCCCTTACCTTGCATAGTAGTATTTCTTCATTTCACTGACAGCCCCAAAGCATTGAGACTCGTCCATGTTTGGTCTTCCTAAAACAAGCATAGTACCTAGCACAAATTATTTAATTTATATGCACTTGCTGTTCTGAAAAGTAAAAACACAGGGCTCTTACAAGGCCATAGTCTCACTTTGGTTAGAGTTCTGCAAGTGCATCTGATGCAGACAATCCATGTCAATCACACCCACAAGTGGAGTTAAACGAAGATACGCTTTCAGAATAAATGGAATCAGAGACCAGCAAAATTACGATAAACAATTGGGATATTTACAGTCTCAAGGTGTTACTTGAAAGATTACTTACTATTTTCTAAGGGAGACATGTACCTTTATAATAGAAAGATGGGTAATCATCCACTCAACCAAGTGGCTAAACTTAACATTGTTAATGATTGGCTAGATGTGATGGGATAAGCACACAGCATTATCTATGAAGTAGTCTGACCAAAATATTTAGTCTGAATCTAACCAAGTCTTCAGGGTGAACTTCTAGTGTGCAGTACATGTAGGGAGTGGAGGAACAAAGGAAGCAGTACCATGAGGAATTATCACATATGTCTAGAATACAAAACATTCTACAAGCCAACTATAGCTTTGTCTCTTCAAAACAAAACAAAACAAAAGTCCATGCCCTAAAAAAAAAAAAAAGGGGGTTAAAGCCAAATTTAATGTATGGGTAAACCTTGATTGACTCCTAATTTGAAAAAGAGGCTTTGGGGAAACAACTGGGGGAATTTACATATGGACTGCATATTTGATATTGGTGGTGGCTGGTGGCTGCGTGCCATGGAGTCAGTTCCGATTCATAGGGACCCTGTACAGGGTTTCTAAGGCTGTAAATCTTAATGGGAGCAGAACGCCTCATCTTTCTCCCGCAGAACAGCTGGTAGTTTCGAACTGCTGACCTTGCGTTTCACAGATCGATTCATAACCACTACACTACCAGAGCTCCTTATATTTGATATTAGCAAATGATTATTACCTTTCTTAGGATGTTAAGGTTCCTACATAAATATATATGCACCATTCTCTATATATATATTTTTTTTTTTTTTTTAAGTACTTATATTTAGAAGACACATGTTAAAGCATTTATGAATCCTGGTGCGGCACTGCTATAGGAAAAGCACTAAACTGCTAACCAAAAGGTTGGTGGTTTAAACCTACCAGTCACTCCTTGGAAACCCTATTCAGAGTCACTATGAGTCAAAATTGAATCAATGGCACTTAACAACAAAAGTACTTAGGGTGAAGTATATTGGTGTCTGGGAGCATAGAAGCCCTGTAGGAGAAGCACTGGAATGCAAACTACAAGGTTGGCTGTTCTGGACTGCGAACCACAAGGCCCGTGTTTCAAGCCTGCCAGCCATTCCGCAGGGGAGAAATGAGGTTTTTCGTTCCTGCAAAGATTTACAGCCTCAGAAACCCTATACAGGACGGCTCTGATTCTGAACCAACTTGATGACACTTATCAACCATAACAATAGCAGTGTCTCCAATAATCTTCAAATGGTTTACCAAATAAATAAATAAATAATGCACACGGCATTGTTGCTGTTGCTAAGTGTCATGGAGTCAGTTCCGACTCAAAGTCACCCTATATAAGATTTCCAAGGAGCAGCTGGTAGATTTGATTTCTTTATGGTTAGCAATCCAGTACTTATCCTACAGCACTACATGATTCAAATATGACTAAAGAAACTATTACTGAATCTAAGTGGTGAGCATACTAGTATTCATTGTAGTATCCTTTTAATTATCTTACGTCTTTGAACATTTGTCGTATTGAATGTTAGAAAATATAGAGGTAAGTTAACAAGTGCGCTAGTACTCTCTGCTCTGAATGGAAATTTCTTTTTCTTGCATTTAATAGAAAAAATCTGGACAGTAATGACTGGGGACTATAAATGATACAAACCTCTCACCGAGAGTAGCTTCTGAGGACAGTAACTCTCCTGTAGAAAAAGCCCTCTTACATTCCTTATTTCCAATGTCCTTTGTAAAGCTTATTATTTCTATGTCAAGGATCCTTACAGCACATGGCCAGTAAATTGCTGGGTGTAGCTGACATTTGCTAGTTTTATCATCTTTTGTTTGTTTGTTTGTTTTTAATAAAGTAAAATCCCTTTTTCTTGTTTTATTTGGACTCCACAAGAGCAAGGTAAAAAAACAATGTCTCGTCGAGTATGACTGCTAGTCAGCCTTTTGAAAAGTTTGAATCTATTCTTTAGAAGTTCAGTTTTGAAGGCACAGTTAGTACATACCTCACAGAATTCTAGAAAGTAAATTATCCTGCCCACAATCTGGGTTGCTAACTTCAAGGTCAATAGTTCAAATCTACAAGGTACTCCTCTGGAGCAAGATGAGGCTTTCTGCTCCTGCACAGATTTACAGCCTCAGAAACCCTATACCAAGTCACTGTGACTCAGAACTGACTCAGTGCAAACAACCACTACCATTCCTGTCAGCAGGGCTTCACATGCATGAATGTCCTGTGCTTAACCCACTCACCGCCTTGGCCACTGGAGATTTATGCAAGTAAACATACCTAAGCCAAGAACTACCGCTTTTCCAAAACAGTAATGGATCTTTCTCTCAATGTCAGACAATTGTGGGTCTTCAACCAGTAATAAAAAAATGTTTTGGATGAACCTTATAATTCGTGAGGCTATTTCTACATAAAGATAACACCATGAGGAAATAATCAGGTATGCCTAGAATGCAGAATATCTAACAAACCAACTAACCTTGTTTCTTCAAAAAGTCCACCTCATGGAAAAAATGTGGTATCACTAAAGCTATGTTTTCATGGTTTTTCATAATGAGAAGTACTAGAGCATGTTTAAAGGATCCCTGATGGCATAGTGGGTTAAGTGTTGGGCTGTTACCTACTAGGTGGGCAGGCGGTTCAAACACACCAACCGTTCTGAGGCAAAATGATGAGACAGTCTGTCTACTTCTGTAAATCCTGGAAACCCTATAAACTGGACTTGACTGATTACAGGGGAGTTTTTCAAAGCCCCTTTTATATAATCTGCCTGCTCCATTATTCCTGTCTTTGGGGTGAGGGTTGAAAAGTAGCAATAGATGAAAGCAAGAAATAACCCAAAACTTCACAGAATAGCCTTCTATTTCTACCTGAATTTTTCTAGAAAGTTATCAATTTGAAGATAAACTTAATAAATTAGTTTTTCCAAAGGCAAGCAGCAAAATAGAGAAACACTAGCCCACACACAGTTTAGTTTCATTACTTGGGAAAAGAAATTGTGAGTCTAAAAATGAATTCAAATAACTCTCAACAAATTGATTCTCTCCCCAACTGAAAACCTACTGCAGAAGGCTAAACCTAAAACAAAGCAAGCACTGCTGGGCAGGTGGTGACAGTGGTGGGCCTTTGAGCTGATTCGGGCTGATAGTGACCCTGTACAGGGTTTCCGAGGTTGTAAATCTTGACCAGAGTAGAAACTTGATCTTTCTCCTGGAGCAGCTGGTGGATCTGAACTGCTTATGTAGCGGTTAGCAGCCCAACACATAATCCAACTATGCCACCACAGCTCCTTAACTGAACACTTGTTATTGTTAAGTGCAGCTGAGTTGGTTCTAACTCACAGGGACCTGACATAGGATTTCCACACTGGTGGGTTTGAATTGCTGAACTTGCCATCCAGTGCTTATTGAAGGACCCTGCTCTTAATCAACAAAATGGCATTGTAGCTATACCAAGTGGCACTGAATAAAGTCCTGCTTAGGCTTTCCTTCTCAGGAAAGATTAAGTCTTTATTACACCAAGAGACCCTCCTCCCGGTAGTTTCAGGTTTTAGGAAAATCTCCATAACCCCATTCATCGAAAACTCGCCAGAACTGTACCCAGGACCACATTGACATAAATATCCTAATCTGTAAGAAACAGGCAGGCTCTTGGTCTCTTTTGGGAGTACTCCCTCCCAGGTTTACAATCAATAAATAAACCTGCCTGCTGTCAAAGCCAACTCTCTCTCCTTGTCTCTTTCATCTGTTATTTCCTACACTTATACTACAACACCACACTTCTTGTTATTAAATGTCGTCAATTAAGTTCTCACTCATAGTGACCCTGTAGAGGGTTTCCAAGGAGCAGCAGGTGAATTTGAACCATTGTTGGGGTTCAAACTGGCCTTACCTTCCACACTAGGACTCCACACAACCACACTGTTGTTGTTAAGTGTCACCGAGTCGGTTCCTACTCACAGCAACTCCGTATAGGGTTTCCAAGGAGTGGCTGGTGAGTTTGAAAAACCAACCTTGTGACTCAAATCGACCTTGCAGCCTACACTAGAACTTTAAAATATCCAGAAAAATGTGAAATAAATCATTTCCTTTTTATTTTTTAGAGAAAGGTAAGTTTCAGTACAAGTTCAACCCAAGAATATCTAAAGCCTCCAGGGCAGAATGGTCTTACCTAGATACAAGGATGCGTTTTCTTTCTTGACATTATCATCTAAGTAGGTTGGTCCCAGGGTATAAATAGGTGTGGATCCCATTCCAATAAGAATCTGTGCGCAAATGAATAAAGCCACATAAACCCAGTGATTATTTGCTCCCAAGTCCTTCAGGCAGGAGGGAGGCTCCAAAGTTGTCGTGAAGTTTCCATTCTGACATAGGCCATAGTTGGAGGCTGACGCGTTCACCTCTTGAATCTGGTAGGGTGGGGAGATGAAGTGAGGTAAAGCAAAGAGGGCAGCTCCGATGGCGATGAAAAGTCCACCCACAGCCAGCCACAGGGGCCGTCGTCCCCGGCCGCCAAAGTAGCTAACGAACACCACCACCACCAGGCTCCCAATGTCAAAGCAGCTGACCAACATTCCCGACTCGGAACTCTTCAGGCTGTACCGCCTTTCAATGGTAGTTATGACACTGCTTAAGTACCCAGAGACCATTAACGCCTGGATGAAGGTCAGGAAGCACATGCAAACCAGGAAGCAACGGGAATCCGTGAGGACCACATAGAGACATCTTTTCCCCTGTAGCGTTGCCAGAGCAGAGGACACTGAGACTGTTTTACTGACGTCCACCCTGTGGTTACAGTCCACAAACCCCGCCATACCCACCGAAGTGGACTGGGCAGAGGGGCTGGGGGGCAACGGGCTGGTGCCTTGCTGTAACTCCTGCAGGACTAAAGAATCCGTACTGCTGAAGGCCGGCTTGGCATCTACAGTCGCGGGACTGCGCTCAAGCCGGCAGGAGGCGCTGTTCAAGACGGGTAAACTCCTGGACCTAAACGTCTCTGACTCGCCTTTCCCTTGGACAGCTCCTTCTTTGGCCAGTGCGTCCAGCTGTTCTCCCTCCGGAGGCTGCAACCCAGAGCCTAGGTCCATGGTTCTTATTCAAATTCAATTGCTGATCGCACTCAAGGCCTCTGGCGCTTTTCATCCAGCGGCACAGGGGGTCGAAACCCGGGGGACGCACTCGTGCCCACCAGAGACGGGGGCTGGGGATGCAGAGCCAGGATTCAGAACCACGCAGCAGGGCATTCTCACCAGCAGAGAGGCACGCAGGGCATCCTGACCGCAGACGCGGCCCCGAGGCTCCACAGCCGCGTGCCTCGAAGGGCAAGGGTTTGTCCCGTCCAGCGATGAACCCTGCTTGGCGTCCACCTCCGGGCGGTAGCTCGCGGCGGGCGTCGTCCACGTCCCGGGTGCATTCCCTCCGCCACCGCCGCTCCGCCCGCCGACCAGAGACAGTGCGCTCCGCGCCCAGCGTGGGGGCACTTAGAGCTACTGCCCACGCCGCATATAGTCCAGTTGGGCCAGGGTCACCTGGTCCTCGCCGCCTCGGCTCCCAAGACCCTCTAGCGTGAAACTGCCAATCTGGAAAGCAGAGAGAGGACTGTCAGCGGAAGATCGGTAGGGGTTGGGGCAGGCGATGGATGACCCGGACAGCCCCAGATGAAACAGAGGGGCAAAAGAGGAGCGGAACCCTGGAGCAGGGGGCTACTGTCAGCTGCAGCCTTCAGTCCCAGAACAATAAGCAGCAGGAGGTCGGTAGAGACCCTCCCTCATTGTCTGCTGCGGGCCTGCCCCCCCACCCCGCCCCTTTTTCCTGAAACAGCGCATCTGCTTTTATATGCTAATAATGATTAACCTGGCAGTCCTGACTAAGAGACAATGTCTTCTATTGCAGCGAACTAATTGCAATCTTTTTGCACTCCCACTGAAAATAGAAAATGCCCAAAAGAACAAAGGAAAGTTTTTTGTTGTTGTTTTACAAACACACAATGCATTCTCAAAAAAAAAAAAAAAATGTTTTTTAATGGGCTGAGGGAGGTAGATCTACATGTGCAGAATCGTGTGTACACAGTTGTACCTAGGCACGTGTGCACGACTGGATGCGAATCCGTCCTTTCCATCAATTAGAAACGCCTTCAAAGCCAAAGACAGCAGCAAAAAGGTCAATGTACTTCTCTCTTTATTCCCAACACTAAAAATAACACTCACCCACCCCCGCCCGAAAGAACTATTCAATTACAAATACCAGGGGCATTCGAGGCTGAAGCTCACACTCAGTCCCAGAACGGAACGCTGTGTCGAGTGAATCCGAAAATCAATTTACTTTGCTGAGGGGTGGGGAAACCACCGCAACCAAACAAAGAGATGCCAGTACGCTGCCACAGTTGACAAGAGGGAGTCTCCGAACCCGCTTTCCACGCGTTAGACCACCCGGGAGGTTTGCTATTTACACTGAGCACACACCAGGAGTTTGGGCCCTGAGGTTGAGCGTGCCCGCGAGAGCGCGCGTACACGCGTACACACACACACACACACCGAGTACGTGTTGGAACCACTAGCACGAGCCTCCTCCTAGCCTGCATTCAAACGGGAGCCTAAAAACAGATGTACCCGCAGGATAGAACTCCAGCCCCAATCTCGGGGACCCCCATCTCAATCCTCCTAACCCGGGAAATATGCACCAGGTGGGAGAGGAGAGTTGCTTTGCGCTGCATTGGCTTTCAGTCTGCGGCGCGCCTTTGTGATGCTAGTGAGGAAAGAAAGGAGGAAGGATAAGGGAGAAATGTGGAGAGACAGGCGGCCAGAGATAGCCACTCCGATGTCTCGCTCAGCTTGGCGTTGCCGGACGCAGTCCCAGATTCCTGGTTTGCGAGTCGCTCACCACCCTGGGTTTCCCCTACGCCTCCTCACCGTGGAGCCTTCTTGGGGAACCCCACCGGTGGCCGCACGCCGAGCCTGGGAATCCCGTAAACTCCCTCAGCACACGCCCGGGGCACCCGAGCCCCTGTCGGGGCGGGCACCTGCTCCGCAGCGCAGGATAGGCACCCGAATCACGGAAGGGAGCTCTCAGCCGGCGCATAATACCAGGGACACCCCCTTTACACACACACATACAGCCCACGGGAGGAGAACGACGGAAGCTAGTCGCCGCTACTAGAGCACACAAGCCACCACGGCTACTCACAGGCGAGTCTGTCGGTCAGTCTGGCTGAGCGTGGAGCGGCGGAAGTGGGGGACTGCGGAGGTGCATGAGTGGGTAGAGACAACCTCTGTCCAGCCGCTGAGAAATCAGTGAATGAGAATGTGACTCAGATTCAACTCTTCCCCCTACCCCTTTCCTGTCACCCAAGCCTCTCTTCTCCAAACAGACACACGCGCACAGAGGCACGCCACGGAGAGGAGCGGCAGAGGGCGCAGGCGCGCAGGCAGCCACCCAGCCCTGCCCCAGGCAGTCTCTGGGCTGCCCTTCACCTGAGGGCTAGGAGAGCCAGAATCACAGTAGCCTCAGAACAATGCGTGTCCAAAAAATTCTAGGCAGTAGCAGGCTCTAAATAAAGACGTTATTTCTGTTCACTTACTCCTATCGTGAACCCATCATGTTTCAGGTACCATAGAAGGTTCTGGGAACCAAAGAAAAAGACAGGATTCTTGGACTGAATAAACTCTGTCCTGCGTGAGAAATAGTCATGTAGATTGCTTAAAATGATGCAGTAAATTAAATACAGGCATGTTACTGGGAAATCTAATATTTACTGACCTATTAGATCTTCATTTCAAGTCTTTCAAAGAGCAGCTATATATAATTTGTATTTTGCAAAAACATTCCAGGGGCTGGGGCTACAAAGATAAATAAACTGCCACTTCTACCCTCTTGGAGTTCACAGTCCAGTGAGAAAAGCAGATTAGGGAATCCAAAAAAACACCCACATAATCCTGGTATATTTACCGTGTTGGGGAACTGATAGAAGAAAAGGCTTACTCAATTTAGGATCAAAGAAAGAACTGGGGTCAACAATCAAGAAAGAGTTCAAAGTCTTGTGTTTGAATTTTGGAAAGGGGGTGTTGCATCCCAGGCAGAAAGAAAACCATGTTCGAAAGCACTGAGGTGAGAAAGACTATGGTGCTACAAGTAATTAGGTAGAAGGACTTCAGGGAGTACACGAAAAGCAGAAGACTGGACTGGAAGAGTAACAGACTAGGACGGGTCACCTAGTGCTTCACTGGTTGTGTGCAGTCAGTGATATTCAGACCTTAACAGAAAACTGGCTCTGAAAATGGTAGGTGGAATGAAGAGAGACCACACTACAGACACAGAGACAAGTCAGAAGGCAACTGCAGATCTCTGAGCAAAACATGATGAAGCAGTAGAAGAGGGAATGGGGAGGAAGGAACCAACTGAGAATGCAACGAGAATGTAGATGTGGCCAGAATTGGCAGCTGATTCAATCTGGAGGATAAGAAAAGAGGCCAAAGTGGAATGAATCACAAGTTTCCCACTTGGGTTACACAGTGGATGATGTCCAGTAAAAAGAGCAGGAGAAATATACCCATGGAAAAAGATGCTTCCCATTTTAGATGCACTGAGTTTGAAGTGTCTTTGGAACATCCAAGTGTGCATGTCCCATTGTTTTTATTAAGTGTCATCAAGTCAGTATAGGATTTCCAAGGAGCAGCCAGTGGGTTTGAACCACTGACCTTGTGATTAGCAGTCCAGGACTTATCCTACAGTGCCATACCCATTAGCTACTAGATATATGACACACAGGAGGTTTAGACTAGAGTCATCAGCTCAAAGGAGGCATAAGAATGGATAAGATGAATAAGAAAATTATGAAAGTGTAAATAGATGGAAGCTAAGGATAGAGGCCCAAGAAACCCTTCAATCTAAGAAAATCTGAGAGAAAAATTAAGGAGACCAGAAAAAATGACCAGAAAGGTATGGGAAGAATCAGAAAAGAGGCATCATAGAACCCAAAGTAGGTTTTAAGAAAAGAGTGATCAAATGCATAAAGGGCTACAGAGAAGTCAAAAAGGATGATGCCTGAAAATAGTCCATTAGATTTTTAAATTAGAAGTACACTTGTGACCTTCGACGGAGTAGGAGGTGACCTAATAAAGAAAAGGACATGCTCTTTTACAGGTGTTAGTGACAATGCTGGCCACCGCTGCCATGCCAGCACCATTCTATTGACTTCTGGCCTTACCCAATGAAAGCAGCCTCCACTTTATAGATGTGATGAGTGAAGTGTAGAGAGATTAAGTAACTTAATAAAGGGATCCAGCTAGTCTGTAGGTGATATGGATCCAGGTCTGTCAACTCTAAAGTCCATGTTCTTTAGCATGACTCAATATTTATGTTGAATCATAATTTATGTTCTGCCTCATAACTGCATAGCATCTAGAGTTTTTCATGCACCTTTCATCTCATATTTTACTTTAGTCCACACTGAGGACATTGGTAGGTAAGTGGTAGAATTCTCACCTTCCATGCAGGAGACTCAGTTTGATGCACAGCTATCACCCTCCTGTCAGTGGAGCCTGGCATGTTGTTACAATGCTGAAAACAGACTAGAATCTAAGACAGACTAGGAAGAAGGACCTGGAGACCTACTGAAAAACTGTTAGTGAAAACCTATGCATCACAACATTCTAATCTGCAACCAATTAGAAGGATGGTACAGGACCAGGCAGGGATTTATCCCATTATACATGGGGTCACCAAGACTTGGAGGTCAATTCCCAAGCAACTAACCACACAGTTCACTACCACCCTATCGTCCACTGTTGATCTTTAGAGAACAAATACTAGTGTGTGTTTGAAATCCATGCTGAGACAGCCCTGAACTTCTAGCAGCTTCCAGACTGACAGACGAAATGAGGCAACAATATGCATTTCCTCATCCCCTGCCATTGTTCTCTTTTCTGGAGATCTCTAGCAAGCCTGCCGGGAGCCAGCCCCAGCAGACTTATTCCAGGGTTTTTCCGAAAGCGTATGCGGCGTCGGTGGATTACGGAGTCATGGATCATGATAAATTCAAAATCTTCTCATTACATGCTTTATTATTATTATCTCTATGGCTACTCTAATA